CTTCATCTTTTAGTATTTTCATTTGATGTATGCTCATTTTTGCAGATCTGCATATACAGTACACAGTTCTTAATCCGGACTTGTCGGAACTTTGGCAATTCCGGTTTAGGGGTTTTTCTGGATTATAGATCATCAGTTTAAATCTGGTAAAATGGCATGCAGAAATTATAAAATAAAAAATATGAAACTGTAATTTATGAAATAAAGAGAAATTATGATCTAAAGGGTATCAAAATTTACCCAAAAAAACTTAATATTTATTTCTTTACTTTATTAAACATTTCTTTTAATGTAAGTTGTTTAAGTTGCTTCGTTTTATGTGCTAATACTTTCTCTTTAATTCTATAAACAGACATAATTTCTTGTTCAGTTACAAAGTTCCACTGTTCAAGTACAAGAATTGCTGTGCCGAGAATACCGACTAACTTGTCAATCGAAATTTTTTCGTTTTCACTAACCTCTCAGTCTCTTTCGTCATGCCTTTATACCTTTTTTGTTTGATAGACATCAAAACATGCTTTCACTTTGTAGATCCTTTAGCAGCTCCAGAATCAGAAACTCTTTTTGACATAATCGAAAGTTCAAGCTTACTTTTTATAAAATTGCTCTAACAGTCTGCAAAAAATAATAAGCCGGATCCAATTAGAAAATTAAAGAACAACACAATCTGCAACATTAACTGAAAAGATAATTAGATAACTTTAGCCTAGCTTATACCGTCCATTATACATTAAACGTGCATGCGTAAAGGTACAGTTACATGCGTAAAGGTATTATGCACGTGCGTAAGCGCTATGCATGCGCAGAAAGTTTGTAGCTTTGAAGTCTGGATTATAGATCATTCCGGATATGGACGTCCAGATTAAAGACTTTGTACTGTATTACCTTTTCCTAATGCTAATTGAGTTTCATGTAATACTCTTGCTTTCAGTACGCAGTCTCTTAACACCACATAATTTTGTAATTATCAGTTAATTATGCAAATTCACATGATCTAGCTTGAGTTATGTAATTTTCTATGATTTTTTATATGCTTTGATTTCTGGTAAAGAAAAAATGTCTTTTATGTATACTGTTCTTATTAGGTTACAGTATTCTGTAAATTTTGTTTTAATTTTAGTTTCCTCTAATTTAGTTCTTTACCATCTTCTACATAATAATATAATTTATGTCTTAAGACTGAATTTGTATCGTACAAAAAAAGTAGTGTTACGAATTTGTATAATGCAGGTGTTCCCAAACGTTTTCAGTAAGTGGCGCACTAACAGTTTGGGTATTTTTTTTCACAACACCCTTAATTGCAATATTTCTATCATAATGATAATCACACACAGAATAAGAACACATACAAATAAAAGAAACCTTCAGTAACAAATTAGAAACTCAGTGTGACAGGTGAGCTTCTTGATGCCCGTACAGTTTTCCAAATCTTAGTTGGCTTCAAACAGCTATTCTCACTTTTGGCTCCACATTGATTTTCAAGCACTATTTCATCTTTATTAGAGCGACAGCTGAAAACCAAGCTTCACACAGATAGGATGTTGCAAAGGGAATGAGGATCCTTAAAGCTTTAAAACTTAAAGTTACATTCTAAATTTTGATTTTAATCCAAAACTTCTAATTAAACTATCTTATTTTGATGAATGAAAAAGATCTTGAATCAACATAATTTTCTCTGCATTATCTTCTGGAAAGTATTTTGCAAACCAGTCAGTAAACTTTGAAAGGTGTTCCATGAAAAGAGACAGCAATTTCTGTAGAATGTGAAGTTTATTAAAAGTTGTGTATTGGTACAATGTAGGAAAACAATCTTCACCACTATCGTCATTCACTTTTTTATTCACAACTCCAGCTTTTTCCTAAACACTGAAATCTTTTTTACAAATTTCAAGATGTGCATACATGGCCCTATAAGGACAAATTCAAGAATTTAGTTTGTGAAAAATGACGCTTAATATGCTAGTGTCAGCAAAATGTCTGGTTCGACAAAATTCTTATTGATCGCATGAGCTTCCTCTTGCAGTGAAATTCTTGATGCCATCTGAAGGCACAAGACTGTGTGTTTATCATGCTTAAGCCATCATGAATGCAATATAGCATAGCCGTGTGTTCAGCTTCCATATCCTTGTGTAGGTTTTTGAAAAAAATTGCTTTCAGCAGTCTAGTTCTTATGCAGTTTTGTACGTCTCTGACACATTCTAATGCCATACACAACTGAAGACTACGGAACTTCGATACAAAAAGCTCATAGTAAATAATGTAGTTCATCCACACAGCATGCGATGTTTCATTGCAAATAAATACCTGTAGTCCTGCATAGTGGCCGTACATTAATTTAGCACCATCAGTATATACATATAATGCATTTTTTTCCTATCTAAATCATTTTCCTTTATAAACTTGTCAAGCATTTTGAATAAGTCTTGAGCCTTTACACTTCTGATGATGCTCTTACAGAAGATCGTCAACATTATCATCCAGGAAGCATATCTAATGTATAAGATTTGCATCTTTAGTACTGTCCGGTAGCCTCATTTGATTGCAGAATGATTTCATTTTCTCTATCAACTAATCATTGAAATTTTGGGCTACAGATTGAATTCTTTGTACATATGATCTATACATTGAATTCTAATAGTGTTGTTGCTTACAACTAACTACCTTAGAAATGAGTTCCAGTACCATAATTTTAGCTATGTTGATAACAGCTCTTCTGTGATAATGTGCAGTTTTATGCACTTCATCACTGTGTGAGCTATTTTGAAAGACACTAGCTGTCAATTACTTAGAACTGGCACTTGTTTCATGAGTACACAGCCTTTTGTAAATTTTGCAACTTTCTACTACAAAAAAATGGGAGATTTGTCGACTAAGTAAGGATGAAGTGGAATGGTTTACTAAGTGGGAATGGTTTCAAAATTTTCCTTTAGCTTACTTGGCTGCATACATCTGTCATCGTTGTATTTTAATGCTGTTTTACATCTACTGAAGTAAAAGCAAACTCAAAGTAACTTTCCTTGTAGTTAAATGCTTTCGCCTCTTTTATTCTACGCCAGTTTCGAAGCCTTGTCACTCATACTTGAACAATCGTTATTATCTGCTTTCTTGTTTAATGAAAATCTTTTTATTTTGTGAAATATCAGTATGGATTCGTTGATTTATTGCAATATTTTATCGAAATCAACAGTTTTATTTTCGTAGATTGTACAACCTTCCCATCCTTTCGTGAGTTTGATACTGTTGGTTGCAAGTGGAAAAATGAAGCACTAACAGGTACCACTGCTGAGAAGCCAAATACTGCAGTCTTGTGACAGGAAGTAATAGGTGCAAAAATATATGAGAATGATCAAGTACAATTGATTATACAATTGATCAACTACAATTGATCAAGTACAATATATGAGAATGATCAAGTACTGATTGAAAATATTCAAGAATCAGTAATTTATTTAAAAGTTAGAAATGGGAAGCAGACAGTGGCTAACATAGATCAGATTAAACCATACTATGACAGAAATAAGATGCAAATATTCAAAAATATTTTAACAGGAAGGACAAGAAAAAGCAGAGCATGTGAGGAACAGTGACAGAGAACAATTGACTTTGAAAATACGTGTTAAAAGACAGAGAACCAAAAATATGGAGGAACAGACAAAGAAAATAAAGACACAACCAAATTGGAGAAGGAACTAGAGGCTAAGAAAGCAACCAAAAAGAAAGAAATACAATTGGGCATGCAAACGACCAAAGGATGTTCAACATGTGCGAAAAGTCCCATCGCCAGGGCCGAACTATAGTAAGGAATTAACAATGATTGTTCTCTGCAACACGTGTCCAGCTGAACAACCTTCAACAATGCAGATCAGACCACAGAAATTCAGAGTTTGGGTTTGCCTGAAGTGCTGTAGAAAAGCCCAGTGAGAAATTCAATGCCGAAGAAGTGACCAATGGACACAGTATGTTCTCAACATTGAGGGAAGGGGCTGAGAGTCTGAGTCTTCCTTTTCTTGATGGCATCAAGAAAAGGAAAGCCCTGTTGGAGGAGGTGACTTCGCCCTGAAGGAGGTTCCAGGTACATTAAACCAGTGTGTATACCACTTGGCAGGAGTTCATGAATAAACAAATGTTGAAGTATAGAAAAATTAAAAGGCAAGTGGAAATTTAATTTATACTTACTAAGATTCAGTTTTATTTTGTCTAGAAGTACAAGAGCTACTAGTTTGTTTTTGAATTTTGCCTTAAGGTTATTTCAGTTGTTTAAGTGGCAGGAAGCTCCGAAGTTAAACTGCAATTATCCATACTTATTCTAATTTAGTTTAGAAACAAAAACAAATATGATAGACTGATATGAGGAAATCTGAATAAAAATACAAAGAAATTCTAACCAACTTGTGTAACTTGAAGTAAAGTGCAAGCTGAATTTTCTAATTTAATGTATTGTAAATATTTCATTTAATGCAGTATGTCTTATGTTTTGTATTGTAAATGTTAAAACTACTCTTAGATGTATATGCTCAAGTAAATTAAGACGTGCATAGTTATAGGAATTAAATTTGTATGGTATGAATGAGATGTTTAAATCAAAGCTAGCAAATTTTTGAGAATTTAAGTTACAAGCAAAGAAGCTAATTTTGTGCATAAGCTTAGGCTGTGCAGCCAACACTTGAATTTAAAGTACACTCTTGTTAGCATATTAAGTGCAGTTTTGAAAGTAAGATGTCTTTGAGGTCTAGTGAGTCCTATGAATTTAAAACGTGTAGGTTCTGGGTTAGGTGGTAGAGTTGTGGCACTTATACAAAAGACAGTGTCTTGATCTTTTCAGTACACTTTTTCTGGAGAGCAGTGGGAAAGAGAGTTTAATGATAGGATACATGAGTTGAATGAAGTTTGCATAAATTTAAATGAAATGTTTGAATAAGAAAGGTTTAAAAGAGATAATGTAAATTGAAGTAATATTCTATGCTTTTGAATATTTTTGCTAAAGACTTTTCCCTTTCCAGATATATATGGAAGGAGTTCAGCAGCTGAAATATTGCAATAGAAGAAATGTACGTAAGATCCAGCTCTTTGTCATGTAAATTTAAAATTAATTATTTTAGCTTAAATTCCACATTATAAGAATTTGGCTCTGAAGTATTTATAATTTAAGCTCATAACGAGATCCTTAAAGACATCTATTCTATGTACTTAAATTATGGCAGAGGAAAATGTATCTCATTTATTTTTTAACCAGTTATTTTATGCTAATAAATGTTCCTAACCTCTTAATTTCCATTTTCTTGCTAGGGCCCACCAGCGGCTGAGCGGTAAAGTCGCTAAACACTGGTAGTTCGGTCCGAGGTTCAAATCCCACAAACGGGCTGGCTGCATGGGTGTTTTCGTGGTTTTCCTCATGTGTAACGTGTATAGGAGCCAGTTTCCCTTACAAAGTCCTCCACGAAGGCATCCCTCCCTTAAGGCAGATAGCCCTCGAGTGCTTTGCTGTAATCTAATAAACCAAACCATTTTCTTGCTAGAATGTAAATTTCTAGCTTGTGTGATACTCGAATGAGGAAGAAAGAAGATAATGTTTTAAGGAACATTTTAGGAGGTGAAATCGGAACGTGTTCTGCCTGCTGAAAACCATGTTGCCAATTTGATTTCCTTGCAAGTAGTACTTATTTTGCGGCATCGCATTAGTCTCTTCATGCCGAACTTTAGTTCAGGGCCAACTTGCACCTTTCGTTAATTGTATAGCCATTAGGATAAATTATTTTTACTTAATTAAGTCAATTCATTATCTTTGATTTAAGCCATAACTGCGGGCTATGTTTTGTAAGCACATGAGCTGCTTTCTCTTAACTTTTATTTGAGTTAAATAAAGGTTCCGTTACACTCTTTCTCAGTCTCTGTGATGCCTTGCAAGACATAGTGATAATTGATGTAAAATCTTCAGACATTTCATACATTTTATATTTCCAAAGAATATGAAACATAAACTCCATTTTTTTGGGGGGGTAGAATTAAAAGGCAAAACTTGCAAAATAGTTGCTCAATAAGTTGAAACTTTTTGTAGAAAAATTGCAGTATGGCACTAATTTTTTTTTAAAGGCTAAAAATCTGTATTAAGATACACACACACACACACAAAAAAGTAGTTTGGTCATGAAAGTACTGTGAAATATTAATATAATATAGTAGCGTCTTCTTACCTGGTATACCATTAAGGGGAGGGGAAAGCATCAGTCAACAAAAAAAATTGCAAATTCAGATTGTAGTCTTGTTTCTTTTGTTGCTTCCGAGTCTACTGCACGAGTCCTGCTTGTCTATGCTATGAGTCGTGTTTGTTATTCATTGCCGCACAGTTTATAATTGTATGTGGATTGGTTTATCGTCTGTTATCCGTCTTTTACCATTATGTGTCTGTGTGTGTTGGGATTTATTCGACAAATGTTTTATTTAAAAGCTGAAATTTATGCAAGTATGGAAAGAATGGCGATCAAAGGAAACAAAAGTTGTTTTATCTATGAAATAGAAACTTGAATGAATCAAGAAGCTGGACAGGGAAGGAGAGGCAATGCATAAGGTAGCTGACAACTTTGGTGTTCAACAGATAACAGTAGGAGAGTGCAAAAGGAAACAGATTGAAACAGAAAAATGGTGTGCGTCAAGAGTTACAGAGTGTGCATTAACCCTCTGAGTGGCGCAGGATTTTAGATCCATCATGAAGATCGATATTTAAACAGCATTTTTTAATTGAGTTTGTACAATTACTTATTTTTGTCTGTATTTTCATAAACTTACATTCATTAAGATTTACATTATTAAAGAAAGTAAGAAAGCAAAATATCTTAAATTATAAGGTAATATATGCCAAGTAACAAAACTTCTGATGATCCGATAAAGCTGGCCATAATGCTCAGAGTGTTAAAGGAAAGAGTTGTTCACAAGCAAACGTGTGCCTATTTTACAGGAAAAAGCATTGTACTTTCATAATGATTTCAATGAAGAAGACTCAATTTCATAGCTAGTGTTGGTTGGCTCGAGTGATGAAGTCTGTCAAGTATTTGTAGTGAAAAACTATCATCGAATTTTGAAGAAATAGAAGCACTAGAATATTTCAGGAATTAATTGAAACTGATGACCTAACAGATGATCAGCTATTTTATGTAATGAACCAGGCTTGAATAACAAAATGTTACCTAGTGAATGTCTTGCAGCCAGAACTGAAACAGCAGCCTCTGGTTATAAGCGTAGTAAGAAAAGACTGATAATTTTCACTTGCTACGGGAAACCTCAAAATAGGCCTTGTTAATGCCACTCTGTTAAATAGCTAATCGTTTGTGCCATTAAAAGTGGTTATATTTGTATTGCTTAATATGGCAACACTATGTTACTTCGATAATGTAATTTACAAAAACTTGGGTTGTTCGGTTGTTTCGCTGCTTCATCGGAAGCAAAATTTGTAAGGTTAAATAAAAATATTTAAAATGTTAATGGTGTTTGTATTTTAAATTTATATTACAGTCCACTTGCAATTAACTCAACATATTTATGGTCCTGAAAAAACTGGTGGTATGCAAGAGAAAAGTAGGTGGTATGCAAAGAAGCAAAGTATTTTTAACTATAAAATTCAAAAATTAAAACCTCAAAATCCTGATTGAGTTTTTCTCGAAAACTCATAAATTTATGCAAGCTGAGCTTTGTTCAAGAGTGGTGATAGTAGTACTTTGTAGTGGTGGTACTAAAGGTTTTCAATTTTTGTTTAGGTGGTACATGTTAGTCAAAAGGTTGAGAACCACTGGACTAGATTCTAGGAGAAGGATATTTTGTTATGTTACGTTATACTCAGATGTTCTTTTTTAATGCAGTATCTATTCTCAGGTTGCACACTGAAATTTCTGCATACAAATTTCTGAAAGTCAACATTCACACTGTTTTCTGGTTATTGGTGGGTATAAACAACACCTCCTAGAACTAACTCAAGGCCACGGCGCGCAGTTCGTGACGTCACTGCAGTAGGGATACTTTCGTCCTCGCCAACTTTAAGGGCGCCTTCTTAAATGTCCATTTGACAGGCTTATAATTAAACTGAAATTTTTATATTTAATTCTCATCGTTTATAAATCTGGAAAATACCTTGCTTTCATTAGAATGTGAAGAACCGAGATTTTTATTTTTAGAATGTTTTCGATACGAATAACTAGAATTTTTAATTCCATTAAAAGTTATTACTGATTTTACCAAATTTAATCGCTGAGTAACTCTTGTTAACGAAAGAAACTTCACACTTAATGAATCGGAATTTTATTTGTACGCAATAATTAAACAGAAAGACAATTTAAGACATGAAGGCAGGATATAGATCCTAAAAAATTGAGATAAATTCTAACTGATTTAAATTGTGAAGCTATTTTACCTGGAATCATGTAGAAAACATAAAATCATTAGTTGAAAACAAATATAATTAATCAGAGATGTTTATTGGTCAAGAGTCGTATTAATTATACTTACAACAATTTATGCCTTGACTAATAAACATCTTTGATAAGTATAAGTAATATATCTTATTTTTAACATATGTTGCCGAATAATAATAAATACTCATGTTTGAAAAAAATAACGCTAAGCTTGCAACGATTTAAATAAGTTTTCATAATTATTTGAGACATTAGGTGCACAGAGAGAATTAAATATTATTTTGCATTTTAAATGGCAAATATCAAACCTCTGATAGAGGTCTGATATAGATATAAATAGCTAACGTCTGATCTTTACAGGAAAATTTTATAACATGGTTTAGCAGTATTATGTGGAAGGCAAATGTAACAAATCCTAAACTGGGATATTGAACACAACAAATGAAAAACACAATTATCATTGCATTATTACTGCCGAATAAAATGACTAAAATATAATGCCCTTAGGATGCACTAAATTATACATTACAATTCAAAATAATATATACAATTCGAAATACTCTAGATAATATGTATATGCTTATTTTCAATCAGTCAACTAAAAAGAGGAAGGATTGTTCCAATAGAGGAAAAAAGAAAGAAGAAAGAGAAAATCATCGAAATTGTCTTTGCAGTCAATTCAGAATTATTCAAAACTGTCTGTATTTTTACACATGAAGTTTTTCGGCTTTAAACTGAGCATACATTATTCAATTTCATTAAAATTTTAGCATAAAAATAAAGTTAGGTTAAGTTATTTTAATTACGGCCAAGCCTCGAGGGCTATTGCCTAAGGGAAATGCCTTCGTTGAGCATACATTATTCAATTTCATTAAAATTTGTAGCATAAAATAACATAGGTTAGGTTAAGTTATTTTAATTACGGCCAAGCCTCGAGGGCTATCTGCCTAAGGGAAGGGATGCCTTCGTTGAGGACTTTCTAAGGGAAACTGGCTCATATACACGTTACACATGGGGAAAAGCCCCGAAAACACCCATGCAGCCAGCCCGTTCGCGGGATTCGAACCTCGGACCGAACTACCAGTGTTCAGCGACTTAACCGCTCGGCCGCTGGTGGACCGCTAAAATAACATAAGTTAATGTTTCTTCACGACTAATAGAAAGAAAATCATACTTGTCTATTAATTGTATAAAGTGAAACAGGTAACTAGTTTTGAAGAATCATGTCTAATTAGATAGAAAAATCTTTTGTCAAATAAAGAGTTGCCAAAATTTAATTATTTACTTACAAAAAATATGAAACACTTGCATGCAAAGATTGTTATAATCGGATTTAATTATCTAAACTAGAATTAAATACAAGATTTTGTAAAACTTCATATTTAATTATTTACTTTATATTAAGTGAATTTTAAGAATATCAGGCATGAACTCACAAAAATTTAAATAGCGTATTTTTTCGCATTGATATCAGAAACAAAATTGGTATTAGTTACAAAAATATTATCAAGATTTTTCAAGGTCTTCGGATTTTAATAAATACGCTGTTCCTGTGACAAATGTATCGAGATATTTAAAGGCAAGCATTTTGCAATATACAAAATGTATTTACAATTTTGAATTTTTATTAATCCTACATTTAATCTAATCCTACTTTTAAGTCACACATTTGTTTAATTTACTTAACTTGGTAAATGATGCTATTTACTACAAAGTGACTAGCATGATGATAAAGAAAAGAATGCCATCTGCTATAGATTGAACGATTAGCATGCATAATGATATAAACAGTATTATCTGCTATAAATTAAATTAATAGTATGATTAAGTCATCATATTTATATAATCACTATTAGACTTACAATAA